TTACAAATCTCAAAGTCCACTCCAAAGGGAGATATTTCATTTTTTTTAAATCCCTTTTCAAGAACTACAATGAATGGCTCGTTTGGACTACAGCCTTGTTTTCCGGGTTTTGTGATGTCATTAAATATCATTAAAATAATTCCCGCCTACGGAAATTCGAATGGTTGGGGGGTGGGGAGGGGCGAGGTCGTGGTTAGAAGGCTTGGTTGAGTGCATCAGACAAGATGAAGAAGAAGTGCTTCATGTTTGTAATGCGTAAAGTAATTCATAAATAACTATTAAAATTGACAGCAATGCATATTTACAGTACCTTTTGAATTACAGAGCAAGGAGAGATGACTGAGGACGATGGCAAATGATTTGTAGATTCTGAGCACCACTGACAAAACATCTAATCTTGTAAAATGTGTGGTAAGCACTGCTGCTCCATATAAACAGAGTATGTGCGATCGTGAATCTCGAAAGTGAAACTAAAAAGCGATCGTGCACTCAAAAGCAGTTTCAGTGCCAGGCATAATAACGGCTCCCCGATGACCGCAATTTATATAGGCCTACAGTATAATTACCCAATGATATAACTGCGGGAGAAAGTATTGAAATATATATTTTCCTCCCATCTTGTATTTATTCCCTTTAGGGGTTTGGTTTGGTATTGGGATGCGGTGGATTGCGGGGGGTATGGGGGCGGGTCACGATGCCGGCTCAACATCGTGATGTCTATCAGCCATCGTCTATCGGCCCAACCGTAATTACCACTCTAATGTGTCTTGCAATATCAGTGCGTGCAAAGGTTCTGCGCAATCCTCTTGTTCAATATTCTCAGGGTCTGAAACTGGCTCAAATTGATATGGCAATATTGACACCATCCTTAACTATATCGTAGCAGACAGAACTTGCTGCTTTGGCAAGGGGCGGGGCAGTACTGAAACACCGTCTAAGCTGTTCGCCAATCACAAGGCAATGGGACAGCTAACCAATCACAACACATTTCTTTTTTCGGAAGGCGGACCTTCATCAAACCCGGAACTAATCGAGCCATTTGTGCCAGGCTGGGGAGAAAGGTATTGTAATAATGTAAATTATGTGAAAAATAATGCATTTTTCGAACCACCAAGCATGAGCGCATGTTCTAGTACACCCCCAAAACAAAATCAAGACTTTGTAAAAGAGCATAATAGGACCCCATTAAATGGCAAATATCTGCCAGCAAAAGGACAATTTACATCTACCAAAGATTTTACTTCGTAAATTGTGATTGTGAATGGGGCATGAGACAAAGGTTGAATTGCAAACCGTTAGCAGCACCCACATGTCTACTGCACAAGCGCCTCATTTTGTTCTGTAACGGTCACTGGTAACAAGATGGTGCTGCAGATTGCCACCTCAGTGTTTGACTCGCCAGTGTTTGTACTGTTTTTGTTCGTTTTTCCTGTTTTTTGTTTCTCAAACACGAAATGTTTCACCAGGGATGAACTACTGAACATTCGGCAGAACACACCACAAAATCTTCTACTGGTTTTCGATTATTTGGTCGTTTTGCTGAATATTGTAGTTGGCGGAGCAGCGTCGCTGTTCAGACACTTTAGGATGCTCGGGCGGGGGAAGTGAGCCGGCGCGCTCGTAAAGCTTAGCGCAGATTTCGAACGGCTCTGCCTAGCATCCATCTGGCGAATGTCCGCTCTCTACCCAACAAAACGGACAAACTACTTCTTCTCTCCCGGACAAATAGGGAATTTTCAAACTCTGCTGCTCTGTGTTTCACAGAAACCTGGCTGAATTATGCCATTCCGGACAGCGCGTTACATCTGCCGGGCTGCACATTATCACACACACATTATCCCCGTCCCAAAGAAACCCAAAATTACAGGACTTAATGACTACAACCCTGTGGCTCTAACGTCTGTGGCCATGAAGTTATTTGAAAGACTGGTTTTGGCTTATCTGAAGGACATCACTGGACCCCCTGCAGTTTGCATACTAAGCAAACAGGTCTGTGGATGATGCAGTCAGCATGGGACTGCACTACATCCTGCAGCATCTGGACAGACCAGGGTCTTATGTGAGGATCCTCTTTGTGGATTTCAGCTCGGGGTTCATCACTATCATTCCAAACCTCCTCCTAACCAAACTAACTCAGCTATCCGTGCCCACCTCCGTCTGTCAGTGGATCACCAGCTTCCTGACAGACAGGCAGCAGCTAGTAAAGCTGGGAAAATTCTCATCCAGCACCCGTACAATCAGCACTGGAGCTCCTCAGGGTTGTGTTCTCTCTCCACTGCTCTTCTCCCTAGTGGTCAATTACCATAAGGATGTATTCATACCCCCCGCGACTGGCCTCCAGGTGCAAGTAATCAATACACACCAATTCCAGGGGTGCGCTTGAGGTAATTCCTCCCATTGGTGCATGCCCATGGATTACAGGCTGTTTCTGTGTTATGCATGGACACTGGCGAGTCACATACTCCTCCACACTCCTCCGCATCCCAGGCCAGTAGAACCTCTCTCGAGCCAACTGTAGTACTTTCTCTGCTCCGACATGACTCATGTGGTTATGCAGCTGCTGAAGGACCATCTGTCGATACTTTGCAGGTAGTACCAGTTGTTGCCTTTGCATTGTCCTCCTATACAGAATATTGTTTTCTAGGACCAGCTTGTGCCATTCTCTTAGCAGCTTCATTATGTCACTAGCTGCAATGCGCCGAACATCAGGGGTTACTGTCTTACCAGCTTCCTTCAATTCGACTACTGGCCCAATCACCAGATCCTCCCGCTGTGCTCTACTCAATTCATCAGGACTGATGGCTGGTGCAAACTGGTCATGGAGTGTAACTGTGTCGGCCGCTGTCGCATTTAGAGCTGCCACCCAGACTACATCTCTATTCTTGGACATCATGTTACCCTCCCAGGTTGCTTGGATGGCACTTTGTGACAGGCCCTCCGTGCAATCACTTGTGTATCGGTCCATGTCCAGGGGACAACGTGATTACATATCTGCATCATTGTTACTCTTGCCGGGACGGTATTTGATCTCAAATTGGAAATCTGAAAGTTCCCCCACCCAACGAAAACCCGCTGCATTTTACTTTGCAGAACGCATCACGTAAGTGAGAGGGTTATTGTTGGTGTAAGTGGTGAAATACGGGGCGGAATGGAGTCTGTAGTTTTTCTCAGCAGGCGACAATGTCCTCGAGCTGTATGCAATGGCCCGTAATCTCCCTTCTTGCCTCCGATAAAGCAC